CTAGAAAAGCCCAGATTAAGGGTCGAAAACTAAGATTACAGATAGGTTATATACGTGTCAAAAATAGGGCAGTACGGTTGGCAACGTCAAAGGAGCAAGACGTGTGCCGCACGCTAACAAGCTAACAAGATTTCTTTATAATTTGTGTTCGTTATATGTTTCATTAAATTTTTTGTCAATAAATACTTTATAACCATCCTGAACGAGCGCAGAGGTATTTTTGACAATTCAGAAGTGGGATACGAGCTCCAAACAGCAATAAAATGATATAAAAAGTTGCATTTTATTCACGAAGAACGGAGAATGAAGGATTGCAAAATTTGACAAAAAGGCAAAGCCACAATGGGCTAGGCAACACGGTCAAAAGTAAGGCGGTAAAACGGCAGAACGGCAATACGGCCACTTTTTAAGAAGCATCTAGAGGAAAAAAGCGGTGAAAAAGCACCAGGTGTGAGAAAAAAAACTTGAGAAGGAACCACGGACCACGAGGTTAACTAAAAATGTTAGTTAAACTAGGTCAACTAAGGGTTGCCGATCTGGATATTATTCTACGCACGAACAGTATTCCAGTAGTCGGAAACAAACAGGCTAAAATCGACGAACTCACACATATCTTGGGATGTGATGAAATCAAACGCGATGACTACGATTTCGATTCAAATACCGTACAATCTCAAATTGACGAGCTGAAGCAATTGATGATTAGCTTATCCCAAACGGTTCCCAAAATGCGACTTCGGGGAAAGCTAACGTAGGGAGCGCCGCAGGTCCACCGGCTGCTTTGGCATACCACCACCAGGCCAAGAACAACCTCATCAAAGGATCGGAGAAAGCCCCGAACGCACTGCTTACACCAACACCATCATCAAGGATGCGATCGGTGTGTTATCCGAGTATGATTCAGTTAGGGGCAACATCACTTCACAACAGTTTATAAGCAAAACCTAGCAGTTGCAACGCGTTTATGAATGGAATGATGGGACAGTATTGTTTGCCATATAGCATAAAGTGAGAGGTGTCGCTAAGGAATGGTTAGATGCACAGACTGTATTCCAATCTTGGGAACAGTTTAAGACCCCCATTTTACAAGATTTTCCAAGCGTGGTAAACACAGCTGATGTTCACAGGGAACTGCTCTTATATTATTAACGGATTGCACCAAAGCGACTGCACGAAGGCTTTGTTAGCTATGAATCTTCAGACGTGTTCAGAACTGTTTAGGTCTCTGGACAAAATGAAAACAGTGCAAACACTGCAGCAACAAAGAGCTTCTTCTCAGTATGTTTACACGAAAGGCCAGATGTAACAGGTGGTGAGGCTAAACCCAAAGGACCAAAATGTTTTAATTGTAACCAAATGGGTCACATAGCTGCCAAGTATCCAGATCCGTAGAAGAAGCCACGCTGTTCAATCTGTTCAAAGGTTGGGCATGAAGCTAAGTATTGCAGGGTAAAGGTATCATCAGTCGCTCAAGTAGACGCAGCAAATACCAAAGAGTACCCACCCATAATGAAGACTATTGAGCTTGGAGGAAAAGAGTTTTTAGCATTCGTCGATACTGGCAGCGATCATTCACTTATTAGAGAGTCGGCTGTTCCAAGCCGATCAATTCGACAGAAATCGGTAAAACGTCTACAAGGATTTGGTGGATCAATAGTGGAGACTAAGGAATGTATACTTACCTCGGTGAAAACAGAACGCAGCGAAATTTATATACGCATTCACATTGTACCAGATGACATTCTTCCTTACGACGTTCTCATGGGCAGAGACTTACTCTGCAGTAAGGTCTACGAACAGATTGGAAATTCAGACTCGATAATGCAAGCAGAGGAATCAGCAATCAACTTTAATATAAGCGCTGACGTCAGTAGCTCCAAGCGCAATGAGGTGAGGTATGTTGCATAGATATACAGGTTGCTTTGCCGAAGACCTTTCCCATATTGACAGATGCAATACCACTGTAATGGACATCGAGGTGACAACGGCAACACCGATACTGGGTAGTCGATACCAAGTTGCATTTTCTAAAAGGGATGCACTCCGATCTCAGTTAGATCTCCTACTTAAGCACAACATCATCAGTAAGAGCACCTCACCATATGCATCATCGGCGATATTAGTTCCCAAAGCAAACGGAGAAAGTCGACTGTGCATCGACTATAGAGCTCTCAACGCAGTCACTGTAAAAAAACGATATCCAATGCCAATTGTAGAAGAACAATTAGCCAAGCTGTCTGGAAACTCGTACTTTACAACTCTGGATATGACTTCGGGATATTACCAGATTCCAATGGGCCAGGAAAGCAAGAAATTTACTGCATTTCTGACTCCTGATGGACTCTACGAGTTCAACGTAATGCCATTTGGCTTGCTAAATGCATCAATGGTATTTCAGGTCATCATGGATTTGCTACGACAGCTAGAACACCAACGCAACATAATAAGTTATGTTATTATACCATCGAAAAAAGTTGACGAAGGACTTGTCATTCTAAACGAGTTTCTACAGGCAATCCGTTCAGCTGGTCTAACTTTACGGCCATCCAAATGTTCCTTCCTGCAGAGTAAGGTCAAGTTTTTAGGACACCTAATAACGGCAAACGGAATTCAGCCAGGAATCGAGAAAACCATATGCATCAGCAATTATGGAACGCCGCAAAACGATGCTGATGTACGCAGATTTCTCGGCATTACTGGATTCTTCCGCAAGTTCGTCAAGGAATATAGCATAATGGCAGCTCCTTTGAGTAAGCTTCTGAAGAAAAGTCAAGAGTTCCTGTGGGAAGAAGAACAAGAAACAGCATTCCGAAACTTAAAGGAAGCTATCGCATCGCAGCCCGTATTGACTCTTTATGATCCAGCTCGGCGCCACGAAGTACACACGGATGCAAGCAGCAAAAGGTATTGCAAGCGTTTTACTGCAAGAAGAAGACGAAGGACTCAGGCCTGTATTTTATGACCGCAGGCTTTGCTCAGATGCTGAGAGCCGCTACTCAAGCTATGCGCTAGAAGTGTTAGCTATTACCGAGTCCTTGGAAAGATTCCGCATTAATCTCATTGGATCCGAGATTGTAGTGGTGACCGATTGCAACGCTGTAGCAACGCTCAAGGAATCCACTGCTCTACAACCTCCAATCGCACGCTGGTGGCTACGTCTACAAGAGTTCGACTTTAAATGCAAACATCGACCTGGAGAGCAAATGACTCATGTAGACGGAATGAGTAGGAATCCAGTACATCCACCGGAGGACAAAATAATAACCGTAGCAGACGACGTCTTAAAGATAGTTCCCATCGACGAAGACTGGATTTACACAATGCAGATGCAGGAGGTTTTTGCCAACAAGGACGCCAGTAACCAGTGGAGTCAATTTAAAACAGACTATGTCATCTGTAACAGTCGATTGTATCGGAAAACTGATAATGGCAACAAATTGGGCGTACCTCAAGCAATCAGATGGCGCGTTACAAAGTGCAACCATGATGAAGCAGGACATTTTGGAACCGAAAAGACTTTGGAAAGACTAAAGAAATATTTTGGGTTTCCAAGGACGCGTGGATATATCAAGTCCTACATTGCTTCTTGCCCTGAATGCTGTGTGAATAAGGTAAAAGGCGGAAAATCTGAGGGTGAACTTTACTTGCAGGAAGTAGTACCCATACCGTTCCGAACAATTAACATTGATCACTTTGGGCCGTTCATAAGAAGTAAAACCGGAAACTGTCACATACTGGTAGTTGTGTGTGCTTTTACTAAATACAGCTTTCTAATACCAACACGTAATACAAAAACGACACCAGTTATCAAAGCCCTGAAACAAATTTTTTGCGTTTTTGGGCAACCTGTACGCCTAATTTCGGATAGAGGCACATCGTTTACATCAAAGGAGTTCGAACATTTTATTAATGAAAATGGAATTCAGCACATCAAAACGGCCGTTCGCACACCTCGCGCTAATGGACAGGCTGAACGTATAAATGAAACGTTACTAAGTGCATTGAAAACTAACACAGCTAACGATAAGGATTGGGATCAAAACCTTGGTACAAACATCAATTCCACCACAAAGTTTACTCCAAACGATCTGGTATTTAACTTCAATGTTAGAGATGTTTCCAAAAATCGGTCAGTTCAAGCTTAAACTCAGGAATCTGAACCAGAAGTCAATGTTGAAGTTAATCGCCAGCAAGCAGAAAAAAACATTAAAGCACAGCAGCAATATTGGAAGATACGCTATGATGCCAGGCATACTTCCCCAAAGAAATTCGGTGTAGACGATCTGGTTATGATCGATTTTGTTCCAGCTGCGACAGGAGATAGACATAAATTGGATCCAGCTTTTAAAGGACCTTATATTGTTACACAGGTTCTGCGTAACGACCGATACGTAATTGAGGACCTCCCAGATCGTTCAGTTTCTCAACGACGATACAACAAAGTAGTATCCATTGATCACATGAAGCCTTGGTGTGCTTTAATCCCAGATCTGGATACCAATGATGAAAACTATGACTACGCAACAGAAGACTAATCATCGTCAGGAAACGCCGAGATGTCAAAAATAGGGCAGTACGGTTGGCAACGTCAAAGGAGCAAGACGTGTGCCGCACGCTCACAAGCTAACAAGATTTCTTTATAACTTGTGTTCTTTATATATTTCATTAAATTCCTTGTCAATAAATACTTTATAACCATCCTGAACGAGCGTAGAGGTTTTTTTGACATACTTTAATGCAAATTTTTGTCGAGCTCCTGCGCTTAGCTCCCATACTCCTTAACCTTTTAATAATGTTCACTTTGTTGTCCAGTGTTACGATTTTTCGGCACATTTTTTAGAGTAATACGATATGACGACTTACAGTCGTCAAAAATAAACGTTTTTCATCTTTGTCCAGCTTCTGCGATGGCGTTACTTGTCCAATCATATTAATCTGTAAGGCTAATATTTTGAAGTTAAAAAAAAATGTAAAAAGAAAACTGTGCCACACTAACAGAATTTTCCATAAGACGAGTGTGGGCGTTTCATGGATTTTATTTTGTAAATTGGTGTTTTACGAGCTTGCAAACGGTGCAACGAATTTGGACTAACAAATAATACGGATGAACCCCACTCTCCTGAGTTAACGTCTATATAAGTGGATTGGTTTTTAAGTAAGCTTTTCGGATTAGTTGTTATAAGCTAAAAACCCGTCTTTTATTGTTGGGCAGGGGCCGGCTGTGGCTGTGGCGGCGCTAGGCGGTTGACCACCCCGATGCCTCCGCGAATGATCTTGCCCACAGCGGGCGGCGATCGGGCAGCCAGCGCCTCGAAGATTATACGAAGCTCGGCAAAAGCAGTGCGAGGATAGGGATTACGGCGCGAGCTGTAGCGCATTACCAGATAGTGATAGTAAATAATGGGGGTCATCAATCCTGCGTGGCTCCTAAAGTTCCACGAAAAAATTGGCATTAAAGAATGTTCTAAATGGAAAAAATATGGAAAACTTACATGAAGGTCAGCACAATTGCATAGGGCATGATGAAGATCTCGCAGAAAGCGGTGGCTTTCAGAATATTGGCGGCTTGAAATTCGACAATGGATATGATAAAACGAGCACCCCACCACGAGTTGTGACCAATCAGCTGCAAGTAAATTTATTTGAATTGAGTGTAAGTTTTTTAGTATAATATGCTTACATCGAGCAGCTTGAGGGAGTAGCTGGAGGCATGCAGAATCGAATAGAGCAGCACAGGGATCAGAACTAGCAACGATTGGCGGATGTTGAAGAAAATTAGGGAGTACATCATATAGTGACACGAGTCCTCCCCAAACAATCGGGTAAGGAATTCCCGGCTGAAGGAGAACGCGGGCACTCTCTGATGCAAACGCAGGGCAGAGATAGCCGCATTGGCCAGCAGGACCTTGCTAAATGCGCTCTGTTGAGAACTGTTGTGGTATGAGTCGAAAATAAAAGAGTGCAATGTGTAAAGCCTTGTACTCACTTGAAGATGGGCAAAACATAGCTGACTGTGAAGAAGATGACCAGCAGCCGCAGGGCCCACAGCGCCGAATCGATGCGGTTTGTCTGAAAGTGCTGTAAGAGCTTAGTCTGCACATTTTGTGATTGAGATTGCTGCGGTTGCTCCTGCTGTGTTGGGGGTTCTTCAGAGCTGTTGATCACGCCGCTATCAAACCGCTGAGGTTGGTCGGTGGGTGTCGTCATAATGGAGTCGCTAGCACAGATGCTTGATTACTTTTCGGTTTTCAGTCTGCAAGGCAATTATGAAAAGGCAAAAATGTACATAAAATCGTTTTGAGGCTACTTAAAGCCTTATCGGTTGGAATTTGGCAGATATCAGGGCGCAGGCAATGATACGGCAGCCCCAGCTAAATAACCGTGATTTTATCTGTGTGTGTATGTTTAAAGAGTAACCCGATCGATCTACGCTCCTCTAATGCAGAATTGGACTCCTGTGGCTCTGCTTCTTAATGCCTCTGCGGAACGCGCTTCAGGTTTTAAGCCCGTCAATTGGAAAGTAGCTTGCAAACACACTTAAAACGAAAACAGGTGTGCCCAGATGGTGTTTCACCGATCACTTGAGCCAAGATGATTTAGGAATAATTGAACGCTTTGCGTAAAGCAACAGAAAATGAAAATAAAGTAGATTTTGCTATTAAACTATTATGTATGCACCTGTATAGTTCGGCAATATTATATCAAAACAAGAAAGGAAGTTAACTTCGGCAAGCCGAAGTTTGTACACCCTTGGAGTTATAATTATTAAATTTGATTCGAAATTCTAAAAACACAAAAAATGATATTCCCAATATCAAAAACACCGAAGCTATATTTTTCTTCATATTATTTTGCCACCAATTTTCAGATCGTTCCTATCGCAGCTATATGATATAGTCTTCCGATTTTGATAAAATTAAATTCAAAATTCAGAACTAATAAAAATTCGTTATTTCCAAGCGTAGAAGGTTATATGTTAAAAAACACCAGATATATTTTTTAAAAATTGTTTCTTCTGATTATTCCAGTAGGAGCTATAAGTTATAGTTGTCCGATCCGGCTGGTTCCGACTTATATACTGCAAAAGAAAGCAGACTTTTGGGAAAGTTTCAGCCCGATAGCTTTAAAACTAAGAGACTAGTTTGCGTAGAACCGGACGGACAGACGGACATGGCCAGATCGACTCGTCTAGTGATGCTGATCAAGAATATATATACTTTATGGGATCGGAAACGTCTCCTTCACTGCGTTGCAAACTTCTGACTGAAATCATTATACCCTTTGCAAGGGTATAAAAATAAGCTTAACAAAAGTAGAGCATCGCCATATCCTTGCTTCAGTTGAATGGACATAGTTTTTCTCAAAACAATCATATATAGATGGTGTAATATCGTAATTAATATAAGAAATCATTGAGAGCATTCTATACGTTTGACAAAGAATGTACTCCAATGTCGATCAGCTGATTTTTCTTCATAAATTCCCTATGTGTACATGAATCTGTTTAAAGTAACAACAGCGATTTTAAGTGGCTGTGTGCCGAGGCTATTACCCCAGTTTATAGCCGTTTTAGCCTAGTACTCAGATCGGCTAAGAGTATCACTTATTCTTTGTAGTGTGACCGAAGTTGTCAAAGAAAGTTGGGTTTGTTGCCAAACGGAAAACAAATCAATTGGAGAAATTTGAAAAGGAGGAGTCTGCTGGTACACAAAGAAATTTAAATAAAAATAAATGGAATGTTCATCTTTAAACCTTCAATAGACAAAAGTTCTGATATAAAATTTGGGACAAAAAAACTTGAACATTCGACTAAATAAATACTCTTTTTAAATTGTTTTCATTCACTCTAACACTTCACCGCTCTTTCTCTCAAATTAATATTCCTAGTCCTGCAAACCCTTTGGTTTTTGGGATACCTTTCGATTGGTGAATCACTCGCTATGATCGGATCATCGTTGCAGATTTTCAATTATTCGTGTGTATGTATATATAGTAGTCGACTTCACACACTCTCCTGGTGCGCTTCGTCACTGCGAGGACTGCCGCCCACAGTGGTCTTTGGGCAGAGGTTTATGATGCTTAGCACACTAAAAGCAAAGATCGAAACCAGAGCAACGATCAACACAACGCACAATGGGCATGCTATTACAAAATACAGGTACATAGGTTGATGGGAAAGTTGGCATTGCGATTACGCAAAAACCACGGATGGTCGAAACTCCATCTGATAAAAAGGTGGACAAGTGACACCACATGTAAGGTCAATCGGGCAGACATATGTACAATGTTCAGAAGGTACCTCTTGTATTACAGGCTGATCTGACATATGTACATACATATGTAAATATACAAAACGAAATCGCAGTGGCACGGCGTTCAAATTGCAGGGCCCTTCATTGCCTGACTGTGGCAATTGAACTTGTTCTGCGGAATTGGAAAAAATGGAGCGGGTTAAAACAAAAGACCTGCATAATTTAGCATTACACTGCCACGCTAGCACATTTTATCTAATTCGGGACGACGTCAGGCGAAAAAAGGTGGGTCAGGTTTCTTTTCGGCCCTTAGTCACAAGGCTTTTGCTCTCGAAATGCTCAACAATAGAGTCCGTCACCGAGGGCGCGATTTTTTTCTTAATTTTTCAAGCGCGTTCCACTTACATATCAAAGGCAGCGCCTTTTCATCCTTTTATGATGTTTCAAAATTTAACAAAAGTATTTCACGCAAATTAATACGCATTGGTCGTGGCTGATTGAACCGAACAGCGTGACCGTGGCGAACAATACGAAAAACACCATTTATCCGTCTAAAATATACTATTTCATATATCAAAATATATCACTAACATACCATAAAAAATGCCACTAAAAACTTTTGAATATTTGAACTAGGTATACAAATATATAAAATATATTATTAATTTTTTTAAATTTCATTTTACATTGCAAAATTAATATTTGGATTCAATTTCTTAATATTACGAAAGTCCTTACAAATAATTTGAGCATCATCTACATTCTTACTTGTAAGCCCAGTACTCACATCGACGAAAACCGCGAGCTAACCATAGGAGTGAGCGAGAACCAAATACGCGACTAACGCTTTTCGTCGGGTCTGGTTTTTAGCGCGGTACTCCGATGGGCTAAGGAAATACCAGAAAAAATACCAGGTTTAGCAAGTAAATTTCGATGAACGCCGTTAGCCGCGGCCCACAGAACAAGAAATGTAATCTGTGGCGGTGTTCGTGCAAAATCGACTGCAGGAGGTCAGTGCAGATGAAATAGGACGCCTAATCCAAGCTGTTGCACTTTATTATGGGATTTCACCGACAGGAAGCAATACCACAACAGGGGCAAATCCAAAGATAAGTTGAAGTGCTGGAGGAGATACACTAGAGAATCCCAGTGGGAAGAAACAGAAGCCGTAGCCAGCCAGCTGTCTGGAAGCTGGGCGACTTCCTGCAGCATCAGCGGATCAACCCCGTTCCCAATCCGGCTCCCACTTCCTCAATGTTTGACATGCGTATTGGGACTCGGAGCTTGACTGCGGTGGCGCGGGAAAGATGGCGAAGCATCCGTGGGACGAGAAGGAAGCTTTAAACTACAAATTTACATAAATAAAAACATTCGTTGAGCATTCCATTTATTATTATTTTAATTTCTTTGTGTACCAGCAGACTCCTCCTTTTTTAATTTCTCCAACTGAATTGTTTTCGTTTGTCAACAAACCCAGCATACTCGTATACTTTATGGGACCGGTAACGCCTCCTTCTATCTGCGACAAAGACGGAGACTTTTTTAAGAAATCATTCTGGTCGCTTACTTTGAACTATTTATTTGAAATAGTTTAAGGCCTAATACTAAGATTGACGAAATCCTTCCGTCAACTATTCTAGAGATCTAGACGCAAATTGTTGAAAATTAAACAGCAATAGAGGGAATGATTATGATGATAGGTTTCTGTCGAATTTCCCACAAACTGTGATTATTTTTTCACTTTTTCGAAACTGAAATGATTATATATTTTATTTTAAGTTACAGTCTTAAATTATTATCTTTCTTGTTTGTTTTTAAACTAAATAGCGATTACTTGTATACTAAAATGTTACAGAGCTGCCTTGGCCTTTTAATGAAATAAGGTTGAGGTCGAGGTTGTTGAATTGCTTAAACTCCTGATATGAAATTTGAGTTTGTATGGATCTGCTGATCAACAGTATGGTTAAACCCCTAACTGTCTAAAGAGTGGTCAAATTTTTCACCTCTAGTTCTAGTACCAATCATAATAGTTTGTAGTTCTAACATTTTGTCTATTTCCTGTTTAATTAGGTTTATCTCTTCTTCGGAAACAATGAAAGTTGGTACAATTTTTAATTTAGCATGAAGATTGCTCTCTTATATAATGCCTAAGTAATTCGATATTCATACTAATTCTGGGTATATATTGTAGGGTATGTAATAGTTGGTGTTCTGAATTCATAGATTTGAAAATTTTATTTTTATAATTGCTTATAAAGAGTTTAATTATTTGCTGCTAGCCGTAATGCCAAAATAATTATTACCCGTTTGTTCGCATTCAATGTTAATTCTTGCTGGTTATCCACTATCATTTTAAGACTTTGGGATAGTACAATCTGGCTTGCCCCAATTTGATTTTAAGTAAGGGGTGTCCCAACTTTTGAACATGCGGTTCTTGTGCTGTGGTGAAGGTAAGTCTTGAATGGCATTGGGGACTTGTTTCTGATTTCCATCAGAAGCTGGCAACGCATTGAAGAAAACGTTTCCGACTTTATAAAGTATATATATTCTTGATCAGCATCACTAGACGAATCTACCTAGCCATGCCCGTCTGTCTGTCCGTTTCTACGCAAACTAGTCTCTCAGTTTTCTAGCTATCGGCATTAAACTTTTTCAAAAGACTTATTCCTATGGCAGGTGGTATATAAGACGGAACGAGCCGGATCGAAGCTCTCATAGGAATTGTTGGGGCGGGGGTGGCTTGATCGCTGAAATTGTAGGAAATCCCATAAATAATTGTGCGAGCGAACGAGATGTAGACATTTGGAGAAAGCTTCCGCTCGACACTGGCTAAGTTAGCTTCCTATCTTGTTAATTTTGGATTTGTGTTACTTTTGTGCTCTTCCATTCTCTTTTCTAAATACCACATCGTCTGTATTTACTGTGGTTGGTTTGGCTTAACTCTCATTCTTTTTGTCGATTCTAGATTTCATTTTGTTATCTAGTTTGGCCTCAACTTTTGAATATAGGGTGTTTTGAAATTCTTTATGTTTCTATAGGTAGTCGTGTTTCGTGTTATTTATTTATTTATTTCGATAGATAATATATGTGTTCTCCCTGAAAGGAATTCGAATAGTGTATATTTGGCTACTGAGTGTATGCCATTGTTACACACATAGCATTATTTTAAAATTATTAGAAAAAAAGAGAATTCGGCCTAAATATAGAAAAAATCGCCATAAAACATGTTTTTAGAGTTATTTTTTCTTAAATTCCACATTTTTCTATTATTTAAGCCAAATTTTTCCGAGCATATGCTATTAATATTTTCTCGTAGAACAAAAAGTCATCTGATATCGCCATTGAAACTAGAAGGTCGGTTGCCTAGCGGTCTAGTGCGTCGAACTTTCAATATAATTTAAATGGCGTGAGTTCGAGCCCAGGAAAAGTCAGCATATATTTTTATTTTTTGTGAAAGTTTAAAGAATGGGATTTTTAAGCATTTTTGTGTGCAAAGGCATAACATCATTTTAGAACATGTTAAAATAATAATCAAACAAGGAAGAACGCTATAGTCGAGTACCTCGACTATCAGATACCCGTTACTCAGCTAAATGGAGATATGCAAGCAGCAAAGCGAGATTAAAATGCGCCACCTACCGGCGGTATACAGATTTAAGCGTTATGGGCGTTAGAGTGGGTGTGGCAAATTTTTTTTGGATCAATCGATAGGTATTGACGAGACCAATACATTTCAGTTAAAATTTTTTATCTAGCATGAAAATTGTGGGCGTCACAGGTTTTCGCGGTTTGTGGGCGTAAAAGTGGGCGTGGCAAACTTTTTTTTGGGTCAATCGATAGGTATTGATAAAAACAATACATTTCAGTTAAAATTTTTACTCTAGCACTAAAACTGTAGGTTTTGGGCGGTTTGTGGGCGTTAGAGTGGGCGTGGCACTGTACTGAAACAAACTTGCGCTGCGTAAGAAGCTCAGGAATCTGCTCGCCAAATCTCAATAGCCTAGCTCTCATAGTTTCCGAGATCTCAGCGTTCATCCGGACAGACAGACGGACAGACGGACAGACGGACAGACGGACATGGCTAGATCGACTCGGCTAGTGATCCTGATCAAGAATATATATACTTTGTGGGGTCGGAAACGCTTCCTTCTGCCTGTTACATACTTTCCGACGAATCTAGTATACCCTTTTACTCTACGAGTAACGGGTATAAAAATATATATATTAAAAATATATAAAAAGTAAGTTGTTTTTTACTTTTATGTTTATTTCTCAGATTTTGCTTAATGACTACTTTGCCTTCTTACCCTTTCAAATTATAGTACAAACAAGAAAGGATGTTAACTTCGGCAAGCCGAAGTTTGTATACCCTTGCAGTTAAAACATGAAGAATATATATACTTTATGAGGTCGGAAAGGTCACCTTCACTGCATTGCAAACTTCTGACTGAAATCATTATACCCTCTGCAAGGGTAAAAAAAATGTGTCGGGAGCTAAAATTGCATGTAACCTATGGGCGTTAAGATTTCTTTCAACAATTCAGTTATATTTTGTAGATCAAAATTTACTATCGACACAGTGCGTACTTCGAAAATGCACTGTGATTTAAAATCGTTCAATGGTCTAAAGCATGTACTTATTTGGTCAGTATTTGTTGGTTGAGTCGGTAAGGACTTAGAAATGCAATGAGTTTCTGTTTTAACGCTGCTTAGGGCATCGGCAAATACATATTGCGATCCATTCTTGTACACCACTTCGAAGTCATACTCCAGAAGTTGGAGTTTCCATCGAGCCGAAACTTTTGACTATACATATATTAATTGCGGACTGCAGTCAGCCACTCGAAAATGCAATCCGTTTGACTTTCTGTACGATTTGTCTAAAATTCGACTCTCTAATGGGTGCATGTTGATGTATCACAAATTTCATTGCATTTGGCCGTACATACAAGTTAACTAACTCAGCCGGGCGACGGCATTAACCGATCGCCCAAAAGTCCGCTCCGGCCAAACTGCTGACACAGCGTCTGGCCGGAAGCTCGTGCATAGCCGGCAAGCACTGCCCATTGGAGTGGCCGCTATGAAGCTCATTTATGTTAGCTTTAAGATTCAGTCTAATTTGAAGTCTTGAATAAAGAGCACAAGCTCTGACAATATTAAACTCCGGCTACCGCCGTTAAAGAACTTATTATTTTCATACTGTCTGAGTCTCTAGGCCAGCAGGTAAGGAAGGGCAGTCACCCTTCCAACATAAACTTCCTTATCGTCAGTGGATAGGAATAGCCAGCCGGCTCATCAAGAATCCGGCCTAACCCGGATAATACCCCAACATCCAGTACTTGCGATTCCCCTGGATCCAGCACGCGTGGCACATAGGAAGTGGGACAGCTACCGGTATTAGCGACTGCTGCGTGTCACTGTCTCATTTGAATTATGTGCGTTTAATTCACCCTTTATATGTAGTTGTTTTTTTGCTTGCACCGAAATTCTTTGTGTTAGCTTCGCAACAATCTTGGGTTTGTATTTTTATCGCTCCC